ATTTAAATAATAAAACGATAAGGGGAAGGGGGGAAGAGCAGCGGATAATAGAAATATAGGGAGTTTTAACGATATCGTTATCTGCGAGTGCAAATCACGAGACTAATGGTAGAAGCGAGATGCCCTCTGAAGAGTCGTAATTGCCTTTAGAATAAGCGCGTGTGCTAGCATAGTTGTGTGGCCGTCGCTATAGCTAAAGAATACTAAAGGCGCGAGAGGCGTTTTTATGAATGAAATATTTAGCCGGTAATACGAGAGCCCCGTACGTGCGATCACATATATACACGAACGCACGCATGAACCCTCGTACGCACGCACGCGTATAGACGCAGCGATTTTCGCTTGGCAGTGCTAGGGAAAAGGATGGTGGTGGTGGTAAGGTGGATGGGTGGGTGGGTAGAGTGGGTATTGCGGAGAGGGGGTGCGAGGGGGAGGGGGAGCAACCGGTTGCACCGTGTGCGTACGTATACTGTAGTTGCAGTGGTTGCAGAACCCGAGTGCCCACTCTTCTCAATCTCTTGATCGTGCTCACTTTATCGAGACTTTGTTATTGACAACAACCAGATTTGCCGACGTCGCATATAGCGATCTCAGTGTTCACTCTTAATATAGGAAATAACCAGCAATGTGTGGTACTGGCATGCTTATTATTGATATGCGACATCGATATGCTTCCATACCGACCGAGCTTCTCTTCATAATTATTAATTTAAACGTGTGCATTCATACGTATTTTGCATAAGTCATATATACAATTCTTTTTTCTTTTCAAGCTTTTATTGAGTACTGGCACATTAGTATCTAGACTTTATCTATCTACAAATACACGTATAACAGCGCCACATTCGTGATAATGAAAGATCATCGTGCCTTTGTACTAATATTTTTTTTTAAAAACGAACGTTAATAAATTGTTTTAAAAATTTTGTGAATGCATGGTGGTTTATGTACTGTTGTCTTTATAAAAAAATATATGGAAAATTAAAGTAGTGTAATTACTTCGCAAGATTTCAAAATATTTTATATTCGAAATTTTATACAATTTAATCAATAAATTATGATTTGATTTTGAAGGAAGCAGAATGAGCGGACTAATAAACTCGGCTTTCAAATTTATAATCAATTATCACTGGTGTAGATTAATAATGTATATGATGCAGGCAAATGGGCTCTTGTCTTTATACGAAGACCGCACGATTTATTTCTTTTGCAAGTTAATCCGTTTCTCTAGAATTAATCATAATTATAATTTCAAGTAGCAATTATATGTACTTTTAATTTTTAAGCTTATATCACTTTGCACAATAAAATACTTCGGAATATGAAAATAATAAAGTAATCGTTTTTTGTTGCAAGAAGTAATCGATGTATTGAAATGCAATGGGCTGAAAGGGAACTTGCAGTCGATGCTATTAAATAGTAGCATCACAGCAGTTGAATAAAATTAAGTGTAGGGAGGAAGAGAAAACTAATCATAAAAAGAAAGAAAAATTATCATAAAAATTACATTTAATAGTAGATGATGTATTTGGGTAGTCCACCATTATCAGGACAGTACCGAGCAGGTCGTTAGATGGTAATCGGCCGACTAGTCTTATCTTTCACGTAAACTTCTGTTGACTGTTTCGGTCGGCAGAATTCAAGCGGACTACGCATTACACGAGTCTGTTCACGCGAACACACAACAAATTTTTTCACAGATTACCTCGCGAGCGAGAAGTCAAGAAGGAATTAGGGGAAGGGGTGAGCGAGAGAGACAGAGAGACAGACAGACAGACAGACAGACAGACAGACAGACAGATGGACAGACAGAGCGCAACCGAAGAGCGAAAGCGTGAGGAAGCTGATGAGGAGGGGGGGGGGGTCAGAAAGGAGAATTGGAGGAGAAAGAGAAGCAGCTGCAGCTGCGCAGTCAAAAAGAATATGCCATAATGTATCATCCGCGCGTTGCACCGCAGGCGAGCTGCCAGAGCCGCGCGGCTCCTTATATACATATATATCGCGTCCGACCCACCGGAAGACAACCTATATTTTCTCCCTCCCTGGGTCGCACGAAACTGGTACCGCGCGCGTCTTCGAGCCCGGCACCACGCGACTGCCCCGCTGTATATTATGACCGCGGATCCTGGAGGTTGGAGGATGGCGAGGCGAGGAGAAAGCCGCGCAAAGACTGACACTCGTGCTTCAAAAAAAGATTTGCGAGTCCGCGCATGCGCCAGCTCGGCTCCCGGCAAGGCCCATATTACATAGCCGCAGAGAAGTTGGACAAGTGGTCCTCGGAACACTTGCTCCGAGTCGCATGCCAAATTTTATCATCCTGTGGCTCGTAAAATTTTATGCTCACTGCGACTGGCCTTTGCGTTCGTGTTTGCGCGAGCCTTGGGAAAGAATTTAGAGAGCGGCACAGGGGTTAGAGCCGGCGCTCGAGGGTAACGGGGTAGTTCGACCGGATCCTTGGCAAATTTCTCTAAACTATTCGAGCTCGAGCGCTCACACTTATTACGTATCGTATCAATGCCCTTCTCTCACCCCCCCCCCCCCCCCCCCCCGTCTCTCTCTCTCTCTTTCTCTCTCTCTTACTTACTTACCATCTCCCTGTATCCCCCATCATTGCTCGCTCGTCCTTCCACGGTTTCTCTCAATGCACCTACAAGTTAAGCTTTATATTCCAATTCGTTTATTATTAGCGAGAAATATCTTCCATCTACGAATATACACCATTATAAATGTAAGCTATATAAGTTAATAAATAAGTGACGATTATCGAAAATTAACATACTTCAAATTGTCTTAATATTGACCAAAGATCTCAATAAAAACATAACCCTATATACTGTAATTGATTCAAGACAATTCACTTTTTATATTTATATGCTCTAATATGTGATTTGACAGAAAAGGGGCATAATTTACGACGTATGGATGAAAATTTAATAAGTTTCATATTCCTACTTACTCAAGCTACTTTTTCGATATGAAAATTTAAACTACGCAGAGGCCATAGAGGCAATAGAGAGGCTTTAATTTGTAGTAGAGATATATAGAGATGGGATGTAGATAAATGGAGATAGGTGGTTTGATAGACGGATCATAAGAGGAAGCAAGAGAACGTGAATAAAGAGAAAAGGATATATATATATATATATAGAGAAAGAGAGAGAGAGAGAGAGAGAGAGAAATACTCAGCTTATAATAGGCGGTTGTGCTGACTGATGACCTTACAGTCTTACACACCACTATAGTCTGCCACGCCCTGACATAGGCCACCTTTTCCTTCTCTATTTTTCTTTTACTCTCTCACTTTCTCTTTTTGTCTGGTAAGAGAGTACCACTACGGCTATCCTTTTGCCTACCATATCTACTATACTACTTCGAAATAGCTAATACATTTGAGGAACAAGATAAGTAAGACTGAAAATCCTGACTGCTTATATTTGCAACACGAGATACAAATAGAGATAGATGAAGAGAATGAAAGATGGAGAAGAGGAAGAGAGGAATGGAGGGCAACTATTTCTTGAACCAGATCCTGATATTCTCCTTGGCTCGTGGTTAACCGCCCGCGTGCAAAGTTCTCTGGTGGATGTAACTACATACGTACGCTCTCTCTCTCGCTCTCTCTCTCCCTCTCTCTCTCTCTCTCTCTCTCTCTCTCTCTCTCTCTCTCTCTCTCTCTCTCTCTCTATCTCGATTCATTGCCGACAAATATTATCGTGTCTTGCGGTACTTTGCGCACATCGTCAATGAAAATAAGTATGCGAATTTATATCAAAACAAAACTTATCTGACTTTGTGAAGCTTTTTGCATACAAGTTTCAATAGAAGATTCCAAATTTCCTAATGAGCTTTTTTGTAAGTGAGGTGATCAAATGAATGGTTATTAAATAGCTACATTAATAATATCGATACTTAAATGAATACTTAAATATTCTTTAAATGACTCATATTCGTAAATAAATTGTCCACTATATATACTAAAACTTTGTTTCTTTTTCAATTACCTGTGAATGAGGTCATAAATCATAAACAATAAGTTAGCTATAAATTGAAACTTCGATCAATTGTGAACAACTGGTCAGACACAGAAGCTCATTCGATTTCGTTTTTTTTTTAAGCTTGAAGACGATTTCAGTGTGGCCCTCAAAAAATGTCGCCTTCGAATTATTATTATTATTTTTTTTTTTTGCGGTAACCGTAGCGAAGCAAATAAAGAAGATGATGTGAGGCGAAACGAGATGCGAGCTGAGAAGGAAGTACTAGTGGTGTGTAGCGAATCGCAAGTAGAATTTATGATGCGCGCGAGTTGCTGTAATGGTGAATTATCTTCCAATTTTACGTTTACGGGGAGACTCGTTTCATAAATTTATCGGAAGATTTATCAGGGGATTCGAGCCAATAATAGAAAACGGCAGCCTTGGTGACTCGACCTCGTTGGCACTTTCGTATGGAGGTGGCAATTTGTTTTCGTTGATCGCTTTGCGCTTAATCAGCTGAAGCAACACTACTCTTCGCGAAATCTCACTGCATACCTTATTTATCGGTTTTCTCCGATCGTCACCTTCCCAA